CAGGCTCTTTTTCTTCAGGTCTCCTTTTGGCAGCTCTGTTAAGTAAACAGACACAGCAAATATAAACTCAGAAAAACTAAGATCACCAACTTGTATAGAAAATAATAAACATAGAAAATGCCTACTGAAAACCGAAATATTCAAGGGGGCTCCACAGGCACATTGCTGACTCTCCACCCTGAGAAAGCCTTCAGAATCCCCAGCAGTCCCCTCAGACAGGGAACTGGAAGGGACACACAGAGTGCAAAGACAGGCTCCCAGTGTGAGACGGTAGCCATCCCTGTTCCAATCCAGTCTTCAGACAGCACTGGCAATTCCCAGTACAATTCTACATCATTACAGGTTTCTAGAACAAGGACTCTGGTGATGAAGATGACACAAAGATACAAGCATTTTAACCACTTACAGATCTTTGGGTTGATTTCTGTGACTCTTCTCATCCTGAGAGGGAGATAGGTGGGTGGGGAAAGGAGAGAGAAAGAGGGGAAAATTAGTTTCTGAGAGAGAACAAGATGAAAAGAAGACACCATAGTTATTGGTTAGATCTCAGCACTGTGAAATTAGAGCACAGGAAGGCCTGGGTAGATCTGCAGGGTAGAGAAGAGGTGTCAGACTTTCACTCTTTTAGTTCCCTTCACCTTCAAACCATCCCCTAAAGGGCCAGGCAATAAAAGTATCTTCAGTTTTGTGAACCACATGGTCTTTGTCAGAACTACTCATCTCTTCCACTGTAGCATAAAAGCAGTCAGATAATATGTAAATAAAACGCATGGCTTTGTTATAATAAAACTATCTGAAAAACAGTCAGAGGGCAAATTTGGCCCATGGGGCATAATTTGCTCAACCCATGTCCTAAGATAGCTCAGTGTAGAGCAAATATTATAGACATTTTGCTTATATCAGCCAAAATACCTACAGCTTCAGCAGCACATGTAGCTCGGTGGGTAGGGTGCCAGCCACATACATCGAGGCTGGCAGGTTTGAAAACAGCCCGGGCCTGTTAAAACGACGACAACTACAACAACAAAAAAATAGCCAGGCATTGCGGCAGGCACCTGTAGTCCCAGCTACTTGGGAGGCTGAGGCAAGAGGATCACTTCAGCCCAAGAGTCTGAGGTTGCTGTAAGCTGTGATGCCACAGCACTCTACCCAGAGCGACATAGTAAAAGTCTGTCTTAGAAAAAGAAAAAAAAAAAAAAAAAAAAAAGGAACTTCCAACTTATTTACCAACTCCTTGTGATAAACGGATATTCTAGTATTTTCTGAGCCTGTATATAAAGAATAAAATCTCAATAAATCTATTTAGTTCTTCATAAAGCAACAAATCTATGAATGCCACCAGTTGCCATTGGAAAACAGGAAGTGGTTTGACTATACCACTAGATCTTACCAGTCTGAAGGGATTCCAGGCATGTGCTGACTGTAAAGTAACCATTTCTGTATAGAAAAGGTTAAGAGTAAGAAGCTAAAGCAAGCTGGGTGTGATACCAAAATGGTCCTCTGCTATATGACAAGAACAGAGACCTGTCCAACTACAACAGAAGTAAGAATACACAACCCAAGCAGAAAAACCACAGTGACCAACCTGGGATTCTCCACGTTCAGTCTCTTAAACAGCAACCAGGGATCCTCCCCAGATGACCCATTCCCCCTTCCCTAGCGTTCAGGCAGCAGGACAACCCAGTGGATAACGTTGCCATCCTGTGATTTTCAGAAGCCCAGCCCTGGCTCCAAGAATAATGTTTTAGGATTTAAATGTTTCCGCTTGGCTGAAATGGAGGTAGAGAGGCTGGCAAGAGTGCTAGGCTCAGAAGAATTTAAGAGGCTGATAAAGCAAGGTACAGCCAGCAGGTGTGTCTGAGCTGATAACAGATATAAACTTCTCACTGCAGGGGCCTCTAGAGAAGCTGGCTTCACACACAGCTCAGCCTAGGCACACACAGACCCTCTCCCCCACACATTGAATGGACAGAGGACCACTGCACACTCACTAGGTTTCAGGTAGAGACATACAGCAACTTCCAATCCTTCACATGGGGATAAAGTGACCTCCTAGAGCCATCCTCTAGGTAGATGTGACTGGATTTGAACCCAGAGGCCCACCCCACACCACTTCTCCCAACCAAAGGGGACCAAAGAACAAGGTAAAAATAAAAATTCCACCTTTACTTTCTTGTCTCCTTCATCTACATCAGTGTGAGTTCCTGGCCTGGCTTCTCTGTTGGGTTCCTTAGATCTCTGTTTAGGTACTCTGCCACATAAAACACACACACACACTAATCAGTTCAGGACCCTGAAACTCTACCAAGCAGGTCAAAAAGGGCTTAAGCCTGCTAACCCTGTCTTTTCTGCAGGAAACCCAAAAGGCATTTATTTTAGGATTTACGATCTTCAGAAATACCATCAACACTTAACATGAATGTTGACCAGAGATGCCAGTGGTTTAACATAAAAACAAAGGGACTCCACTGATTTCCCGTAACCTGACAGGAATCCTCCCTGCAGTGGAGGAGACGAGTGTCCAGACTGCACAGGCTCACTGACTGCACATGGGGGCCTGACTCTCCACCCCCCCACCCCCCGCCAGGGCCCTGCCATTCAGGTTGTGTATTCTGCCTACTTGGGACCAGGGCCCAGTCTCAACATTTGCTTCTGCTAACTGGATGCCAGCAGAGACTTGAAACTGTTAACTTTTTACTTCTGCCTTTGAGCTCTTCCATAGCCAGCTCTTGCCTCGGCTGACCAACTTGTGGAGCAGAGGTGCAGCCACCTGCTACCAAGCCAGGCCCCCATTAGCCAGCAACCACTGAACTCTGCAAACACTCTATTTTAAGCCTCCAGGTTTAGAGACTTGTGTCAGGAGAAAGAATCAAAGCTGACCTCAGGCTCGGCACCTGTGGCTCAAGTGGCTAAGGCGCCAGCCACATACACCTAAGGTGGTGGGTTCAAATACAGCCCGGGCCCACCAAATAACAATGACGGCTGCAACCAAAAAATAGCCAGGCATTGTGGCGGGCGCCTGTGGTCCCAGCTACTTGGGAGGCTGAGGCAGGAGACTCGCTTAAACCCAGGAGTTGGAGGTTGCTGTGAGCTGTGATGCCATGGCACTCTACCCAAGGGGATAGCTTGAGGCTCTGTCTCAAAAAAAAAAAAAAAATAAAGCTGACCTCAGCCTTCACTATAGTGGTCTTTCACATACTACCTACATACTACACATATGATTAGTATTTTTTTTTTTGGTAGAGACGGAGTCTCCCTTTATCGCCCTTGATAGAGTGCCGTGGCATCACACAGCTCATAGCAACCTCCAACTCCTAGGCTTAGGTGATTCTCTTGCTTCAGCCTCCCAAGTAGCTGGGACTACAGGCGCCTGCCACAACGCCCGGCTATTTTTTGTTGCAGTTTGGCCAGGGCCTGGTTTGAATCTGCCACCCTTGGTATATGGGGCCAGCGCCCTACCCACTGAGCCACAGGTGCCACCCATGATAGTATCCTTAATGCTCAGCACTGACCCATTATTTTACCAGAACATTATTAGCAAGTTAAGTTTCACAACGTAAAGCACAAAATACTTACAGTTCTTTGGTTTGACTTCTGAGCCACTTTTCTTCCTAAGTAGGAAGGAAAAGGACTAGTTAATTTTTTTCCATTTGGTCCTGATCCTTCTATTAAAGTGTTCTAGGGAAGACACTATTTTTTTTTTTTTGAGACAGAGCCTCAAGCTGTCACCCTGGGTAGAGTGCCATGGCGTCACAGCTCACAGTAACCTTCAATTCCTGGGCTCAAGCAAGTCTCCTGCTGCCACCTCCCAAGTAGCTGGGATTACAGGTACCCACCACAACACCCAGCTATTTTTTGGTTGCAGCCCTCGTTGTTTGGCAGGCCCAGGCTGGATTCGAACCCACCAGCTCAGGTGTACGTGGCTAGCGCCTTAGCCATTTGAGCCACAGGCGCAAAGCCGGGGAAGACACTTAAAACTGATCCTGTAGTTCAGCTGATAGACATAAAAGATTGTCTACCTTCAAGACAGAAATTTCCAGGCAGTACCTGTGGCTCAAAGGAGTAGAGCACCAGCCCCTTATGCCAGAGGTGGTGGGTTCAAACCCAGCCCTGGCCAAAAAAATGCCAAAAAAAAAAAAAAGACAGAAATTTCCCCACTTTGGTGAGGTAAATAGACAGGAAATTTAGCTCTTAGAAAACAGATCCAGGCTCGGTGCCCATAGACTCAGTAAATCCAGCTTGGGCCAGCTAAACAATGACAACTGCAACAACAACAAAAACATAGCCGGGTGTTGTGGTAGGCACCTGTAGTCCCAGCTACTTGGGAGGCTGAGGCAAGAGAATAGCTTAAGCCCAAGAGTTTGAGGTTGCTGTGAGCTGTGATGCCACAGCACTCTATAAAGTGCAACATAGTAAGACTGTCTCAAAAATTTAAAAAAAAAAAAAAAGAAAACATGGGGTGGTACCTGTGGCTACCTATATGCCAGAGGTGGTGGGTTCAAACCCAGCCCTGGCCAAAAACTGCAATAACAAAAAAAAAAAAAGAAAAGAAAAGAAAAAGAAAGAAAGAAAACCGATCCTATAAGACTGAAGTGTTTTTATATCAAAAATTACCTTATCGGCTCGGCGCCTGTGGCTCAAGCGGCTAAGGCGCCAGCCACATACACCTAAGGTGGCGGGTTCAAATCCCCAGCCCGGACCCGCCAAACAACAATGATGGCTGCAACCAAAAAATGGCCGGGCGTTGTGGTGGGCGCCTGTAGTCCCAGCTACTTGGGAGGCTGAGACAGGAGACTCGCTTGAGCCCAGGAGTTGGAGGTTGCTGTGAGCGTGATGCCATGGCACTCTACCCAGGGGGATAGCTTGAGGCTCCGTCTCAAAAAAAAAAAAAAAATTACCTTATCACCTTTCATCAGTAAATGTTGACAACCTCAGAGAAAATAACTATTACAGACCCCTAGTTTTGCTGCAAAGGAATGAAGCAAGATGGCCCAGTTTGGAGAGTGGCTCCATCTCAAACACATTAACACATCATCTGGAGCCTGAGTTTAAAGAGCTAGATGTACCTCACCAGAAAACCACTCAACTCAGATTCAAACTCTACATGTGGCAGTGTGTGAAAAGATCACAAAGATGATGTGACCTGCTATAGGCCTCCTACTGCAAGAAGAGAGCCTGAGAGTGACCACATGCAAGGGATTTTAATCTGGCTTCAGGTTCCTTTCTATAGATGGTGGTAGTCAAATCAGCCCACCAGGCCTGCTTATTATGAAAGGAATTTAAGTTGTATCCCAACTGCAACTGCTGTCTAATATTATCAGGGTTGAAAAAGCAGTCAATTCTGGTCTAGCTTCACGTACCAAATCGTTCAAGAATTATTGAATGTCTGGGATTTTTTTTTTGAGACAGAGCCTCAAGCTGTCCCCGTGGGTAGAGTGCCGTGGCATCACAACAACCTCCAACTCCTGGGCTCAAGCAATTCTCCTGCCTCTGCTTTCCAGGTATATGGGACTACTGGAGCCTGCCACAATGCCCAGCTATTTTTTTTGGTTGCAGCATCATTGTTTGGCAGGTCCAGGCTGAATTCAAACCCACCAGCTCAGGTGTATGTGGCTGGCGCCTTAGCCACTTGAGCCACAGGCGCCAACCCGAATGTCTTAGTCAATTCCGTATTACAACAAAATAATGGACATCCATCCTTTAACAAGTGTCCAATAAAGACACTCCCCACTCACCTGAGTTTGTAAGAAATTCCTGATCGATACCTTACTACAAAACTAAACAAAAATGGAACCTAGTATCTGTACTGCACAGAACCGTGAACTCTCAGATTTTACAAACGAGCTGGAGGTCTGGGGAAAGGGCTGGTCTAATTTCAGACAAGAATGCAGTAACTTTGCATCTGGATGACGCTGTAGAATTTGGCCACCTCCTGTGTTTGAAAGTTACATTTCACAAAGACCGTGTCAGTGAAAGGCAGATGGGAGAGGTTACAGACTGAATTTCTGAGAATGAGTAATTAGTAAACTAATAGTCAGGCTAAGCTTCAGGCCTAAAACTAAGGCCATCATGACCACAACCTTATGTAGAGAATCACCAGAAGAACAAATGTGAAAAGTGTTTTAGCTATAGGTAGGGACACTTTGATCCCTGGGAAAAGTCATTCTGTTTCTATATATTCCCAACCCACTATTCCCTGGAACCAAATGGGGACTATATTTGATTAAAGTAGAAATAACAAACTTGGAGGAGACAAGGCTTTACTTTTTCATCTCTTTCTTCTTCCTTTTCAGTGTGTGATCTTGGTTTTGCTCTTTCCAGCTCTTCTGCAGGAAGAAGTCTAGCAACTCTGTCAGGCAAAATAAATACCCCAAGTATGACCAACACAGACTCCCCTCCACCCCCCGATGTAGTTTTCAAGAGATCTTCCCTACCCCTCCAAGCAATCTTCATCCCAGAACCCCTGTAAGACACATTCTCATTGAATATTTAGTATTTAATATGACTTAAAACTGATCTGATAGGAAATGCCAGCTGCCCTCATTCGTTTTTTGCCATGGAAGAAAAATCTACCTGAATCTAAAGGTTAATAATCTGACTCAAATTCAGCATTCTTCACAGGGCTACAATTGCTGGAGATACTCATTAGAAAGCTTTTTTAAACTTTCTGGAACAGTAATTTCATGATCAAGATTGCATAACTAATTCAGAACAAAAAGATATAGTGATCATTCTTACAGTTCTTTGGATGTAACTCTACGTCTCTTCTCATCCTGTGTGGAAGGAAAAGAAGAGGAACAAAAAAGATAATATTGGTTTCAAGGGAAGACCAACAGCAAAATCATGAGTCAAAGGTTTGAATGCATTCGAGATGGTTAAAATAGGGTTGGGAAATCAAGGGTTTAGGGAGATCTGGGAAGCTTTCAGTCTGGTAGTCATACCTCACTACCACCAGCCCAAAAACAAAGGTGAGGGCCAGGGGCAAGGCCAACACATGGCTAACTGCTACAACCTGCCCAGTGATGCCATATAAAAGAATCAAAGATTCTCCACACCTCAGTCAGGAATTCTTTACTATCAGAAAAACACAAAGTGGTAATCTGGGATTCCTATCAGGAAGTAATGCTGATAATCTAAATGAGACAGCAGCTCTTTTCTCAGACAAATGCCCTATTTCCCTAAGTTCAGATTTTCCATCTCTGGGGTACCCATGTTTGTTCAGTTGTGGCAATGAAACAGATCTTTTTTTTTTTTGGTACAATTTTTGGCCGAGGCTGGGTTTGAACCCGCCACCTCCAGCTTATGGAGCCGGTGCCCTACTCCTTTGAGCTATAGGCGCCCCCCCAAATAGATCTGTATCTTGTTTGACATAGAGGTTACACAAATCTATATGTGCATACTTATGACAAAACTACATAGAACTATACACACAGAGAAACTGGTACCATCTGAATGAAGTCTACAGATGGTGCCAATGTCAATTTCCTGGTTTTGACCTATTACAGTCTCTAATATGTTACAGCTGGAGAAAGTTGGGTGAAGGATACACAGAATCCTACTATTGTATGGAGCATATGTATATAAAACCTGAATATTTTTGTATATTTGTGTTCTCCTTCTAGAATTGCCTTTAGACTCGAGCTGCAATATCAGTTCTTCCCTGGACCTCCAGCCTTCACTGCAAATTTTTAAATTTGCCAGTTTTCACAACATTGTAAGTTCAAATTCCTTTTTTTTCTGACACAGAGCATCAAGCTGTCACCCTGGGTAGACTACCACAGCATCACAGCTCACAGCAACCTCCAACTCCTGGGCTCAAGCAAGTCTCCTGCCTCTGCCTCCCAAGTAGCTGGGACTACAGGCGCCTGCCACAAAGCCTGGCTATTTTTTTTTGTTGCAGCCATCATTGGTGGGCCCAGGCTGGATTGGAACCCACCAGCTCAGGTGTATGTGGCTGGCGCCTTAGCTGCTTGAGCCGCAGGCACCAAGCCGAGTTCAGTTCTTTAAAATAAATCTCTGGGCCAGGTGCAGTGGCTCACGCCTATAATCCCAACACTTCGGAAGGCTGAGATGGGCGGATTATTGAGCTCAGGAGTTTGAGGCCAGCCTGAGCATGAGTGAGACCCCGTATCTAAAAACTGCTGGATGTTGTGGCAGGTGCCTGTACTCCCAGCTACTTGGGAGGCTAAGACCAGAGAATCACTTAAGCCCAAGAGTTTGAGCTATGAAGCCACAGCAGTCTACCAAGGGCAACATAGTGAGACTCTGTCTCCAAAAAATAAACTAAATCTTTCCCTCTCTACATTCAGACACACACACCCTATTTCTTGGTTCTGTTTCTCTGGAGAACCCTGACTAGACAGGGTTCTAGTTTTTTATTCATTTACACAGACCACATGTTATGTCAACAATATGTCAAATATCAGCAAATATGCCAAAATAAGGCAAGGGTTAAGAAACAAAGATGCTGGCCCTACCTGATCTTTTTCTTCTTCCTCAACAGAATCGTCCGATTTGGCTTTTTCAGATTCTTCCTGGGGTTTCCGTTTGGCAGGACTGTCACACACAGTGAAGCCACCTATTAGTTCAGCAAGACCCTGGCCCTCCAGCAGGCCTTGAATGACTTACATATAGTCCTTCTTCCTAAAAGCAATCTCTCTGGGAAATACTTAGGGCATATATGCCTACTTTACTCCTAGTAAGGGCCCCTCAATGCCTAGTTCATGAAATAGACTTCAAGTTTAACATTTGAATGACAGGTTTAAAATGTTTTATAGCCAGGACGGGCAAGGTGCCTATAATCCTAGTACTCTGGGAAGCTGAGGCTGGTGGATTGCTTGAGGCTCAGGAGTTCGAGACCAGTCTGAGCAAGAGTGAGACCCCATCTCTACTAAAAAAAAAAAATTGCCTGACATTAGGGCAGGCATCAGGAAGCTGAGGCATGAGGATCACTTGAATCCAGGAGTTTGAGGTTGCTCTGCAATACCACTGCAGACTCAGCACCTGTTGCACAGTGGTTATGGCGTTGACCACATACACTGAGGATGGCAGGTTCAAACCTGGCCCAGGCCAGCTAAACAATGACAACTACAAAAAAAAAAAAAAAAGCCAGGCATTGTGGTGGGTGCCTGTAGTCCCAGCTACTTGGGAGGCTGAGGCAAAAGAATCGCTTAAGCCCAAGAGTTGGTTGCTGTGAGTTGCGATGCCACAGTACTCTACTGCGGGAGTCATGGTGAGATGGTCTCAAAAAAAATAAAATAAGAACACCACTGCACTCTACCCCAGGGAAACAAAATGAGACTGTCTCCAACAACAACAACAAAAAAAAACTCCACAAATTAGGAAAATGCTGTTTGCCACAAATGGAGAAATATGAATACTATTTTTTTTTAAAAAACAGTCTCAAGCTGTCACCCTGGATAGAGTGCCCCGCAGCACCAGAGCTCACAGCAACCTCCAACTCTTAGGCTCAAGCAATCCTCTGAACTCAGTTTTTCTATTTTTAGTAGAGATAGGGTCTTGCTTTTTGCTCAGGCTGGTCTAGAACCCATGAGCTCAAGCTATCCACCAGCCTCGGCCTCCCAGAGTACTAGGATAATAGTCGTGAACCACTGCACCTGGCCAATACTGACTATTTGATAGTAAGATGTTCTTATATTTCATAAGACACAAAAACAATAAAATGTAGTTTGATTGTTTTAAAAAAGAATTACCCCCCCAAAAAATAAGTAAAAAGACTACTCAAAAAGCTAGCAATTATTACAAAATATGAATAAAGAAAAAGTTGTCCAAGAGAGAAAGAAATATACTAAAATATTTATGGACAAAGTTACAAAGTCAGAGATTTGTTTTAAAGTAATTCAAGGAGGGGTCAAACGTAGTGGCTCACGCCTGTAATCCTATCACTCTTGCAGATGGATTGCATGAGCTCACAGGACGGAGACCAACCTGAGCCAGAGCAATACCTCGTCTCTAAAAATAACTGGGTATTGTATTGGGCACCTATAGTCTCAGCTACTTGGGAGACTGAGGCAAGAGGATCACTTGAGCCCAAGAGTTTGAAGTTGCTGTGAGCTGTGATGACACGGCACTCTACCAAGAGTGACAAAGTGAGACTGTGTCAGAAAAAAAAAAAAAAAAAGAGTAATTCAGGTTAGAAGAATAGAACATACAAGGGTATAGATGAAACAACGGCCATAACTTAATTAACCACTGATGCTGGGTGATTTATTATACTATACTCAATTCTGGATATAGTGGAAATTTCCTGTCTTCAGAAACGCTACTCATGAATGTCTAGTGAATAAAAGTGCAAGATGAAAACCCACGAAATATGAAAGACTGAATTGCTAAATTATACTCTACCAATCACATTCATGTTTTACCAAAAACAGCTGGTCCCTAGAAAAGGTAGCTGCCAATTCATTATATACTGACCCCTTTGCAAAATGAGTTGTGATGGTGGTCTGCCTGGTAGTTTTCCTTGTAATCCTGGGGCTAGGTGAAATTTCGTCTGTTTAAAAAGAAAAAAAAAGCCACTATGAATAGAAAAGTCCATACCAAAGTTGTGATCCTTCAACATTACCATGCTGTTAAAGAAGGCCAGGTTCTGAGGATTAAGCATTCTTTGGGTTTTATTCTAGTCAACAAATAACCAGCTTGCCAATGTCAGTAATTAGCACCTCCCAGTTTGCTAAGTCATTTCATGTGAGCTCCTATTGGAGGGGCCAAACCCCAAACCAGGCAAAGAAACAGAACCTCTCCTCACATAACAAAAAGATGAAGCAACTGAGAATCAGACTTTTTTTTTTTTTTTTTTTTTTTTT